CAACAAACTGACACCATAAGCTAACCTCTCTTTGCCCCTCCCATGACGTCATATTTCCTAGTGATGACAGAACCTGCGGATGCTTGGTTGTGACAAACTGTACAAAACACAGCCCCCAGTCCAAAGCTAGTGTTAGCTGATTAACACATTTGTCTGGTAAAATGCTCTGGTTACTGCTGATGTGATACAAAGCACCAATGTTACACAAAGCTCCAATTCCTCCCAAATTAAAATAATAATTCAGTACAAAGGTAAAATCATGACCATGCTAGGTTGCTAATAAACAAACACACTGGCTTTAGATGCTAACACATCCAGAAGGAAAAATGTCACATCTGGATCCAGTCTGAGTCCTGTGGCTGCCTTTAACCCTCTCCATGTCAAAAAGCCAAACCAATGTTAACCCTGGTTGTTGCTCCTTCTTTGTCCCACTCTCTCTGTGCAAAAGACGCCATCTCTTCACTCTGGCAGCCCACTGGTTCAGACCTTTAGCTGCCCAGAGCTCCTCCATGGCTGGATGTTTAGAAATACTACTAACTGTTCAAAGGATGTTGCTTATAACCTTCACTATCTGGCAGGCGGGGCTAATTTACAGACCGTACTTTGACAACACAGGGTGGAGAAGCTGGAATAACAACAGAAGGACTGTCATGGAGGAGGGTAGTACCTGTATAGCTGAGGCACCACATCCTTCATATTCATTGTATTCACTTTTTCCATGTATTGGCCATTATCACAACTAATGTAAAGTTCAAATCAACATGGAGTCAATAAAAGCTGTCCAAGATAAAAAAAAAAAAAGGACAAGGACCATGTGATCTGTTAAATGCATTTGCTTTTTTCATTTGTAAATTATAGTTAAATTCCCCATCCTGTGGGTATGTGATTATGAGGATGTCTTCGAAGCCTGCAGTATTTTAAAGGGAACAACATGAATAAATCTGCATTGTTAAGAGATAGCAGTCCCAAAACTGGAATCAGGGAACTGCTGGCCTCAGCTCTAGTAGTATTACAGTGACGGACAGCACCTACTAACAGTGAAAATACAGCACTACTTGATGAGTTGCAGCTTGCTTAAAGGGGGAATAACTTGCATGTCATTCTTATGTTCAACAAAATAGCTTGAATATACAGTATTTACAGGGCACCATGAGGTTGTTGATCAGTGATAGTGAAACACCACCTACTGTAGTGTACTCTCTGAGATTTCTGGCTTTCAACACTGGCTCCTCCTCTAATCTGGAGTACTTCTCTTTCCTGTTGCCACATAAGTGTGTTCTACATCTATAAGCTCAATCACAACACATTTTAGCTGTAATGGGCGTGATATCCAAACCCTGACTCTCAATAAATGAGGCAGTTTTACCTCTGCATTAATTATCATGATTTCACATCTTTGTTGCTTGGAACTGACCTATTTGTGTCAGTTGCAGATGGCCAATTCAGAGGATGTAGTGTAGATGCATTGAGGCACAACAGGTTATTTCCTTCTGATCGCATATTCATTTTGATATATTTTATACATCATATAATGCTGTTTAAATATTAATCTTATCCTTGATCTGTAAGAGATGACTGAGCATGGGCATTTTTACTTTAATTTGCAGACATACTGCTGTCTCGTGAACCTCTTGATTAGGTTCACACCATGAGGCTTTGACAAGTGTTTGAGTCAAGAGCTCTCTGAAAATTCAAAATCTTTGCTGCTCACAGCAGTAGAGATGTTGCATATTAATGGTATGAAACTTTTTTCATGGGGAAGTTGGTTTTCTCTCTGTGTTAGGGGATGGATGTATTAGTTAGACTAATTGAAATTTGGTATTGCCTGGTGATTAACTAAAAGTCAGCAGTCTTATATTCTTTCAACTTCTCCTGCCTCTGCAAGCCATGCTTTGCTCCTCTCAACTCACATTTTCTTTCTTTCTTTGTGTCCTTTTTGTTCTGAGTTTTTGACTATACCCTCTGCACCCTTCGTCGTCTTCTTCTAAAACTGTATTCCTTTATAAAATGTATCTGAGTAAATGGAATGTGTTGTGTCGCCTTCACAGATTAGATCCACTGTGGTTTGTGATTGGATTTCCATTCATCATTCCCAGAGGTGGAGGGTCTTCCTGTGTAGCAAACTGACTAATTTTTGTGTTTGTTTTACCCTGTGTCTTCTGCAGGCAATTCCCAACTGGGAGCGACCATTGTGGATGCCTTAGACACCCTCTACATCATGGGTCTCCATGAGGAGTTCAAGGATGGCCAAGAGTGGATTGAGCAGAATCTGGACTTCAGTGTGGTGTGTACATATACCTCACTTATATACACATAAAAATGTGTGGAACAGTAGCTGAAGAGTAACAATTCTGCAAGTTTAAGGTTTCTGTGTATTGAAATGTAAAATATTCTGTTTCCATTGTGAACAGACTGCATTAGGGTATATAGATTATATACAGTTAATAAATCTCAGTGTCACTTGAGTGGCATTGTTGATGCTTAGAACGGTAACTGTAATGCTACAGTAAACCTGCTCCTGGTATGAAAACACCCTTAGAAGAAAGACCTTAGGAACCGAATAGCCTATAGCCAAATGTGTAATTTGGCCAGTCACTTGGCTTTGATTTTGATTGATTTGCCTTTGAGGAGACTCTGGCTGATTAATGTGCTCCGAGCATGCAGTGAGTGAGAAACAGTAATGTAACAGAAACTAGGAGTTGAATGAAACTTAAATTTAATTGACAGGCGGTTCAACATGCCATCTGGCAATATTTGACCATAGAACACACGCAGGTGGGATTCAAACCTCTGATCCTGGCCGTGTTCTATTAGCACCATATTGTCACCAATAATGACCAGTCAAATCCTATCAAAACCAATTTAAAATGCACACTAAAGCTGCTCCTATTTCACTCTTTGCACATTATTGGGTGGCAAATTCTTCAAGCCATTAAAAACAATCAATCACAGGCATTTTTAATGTCAGTGTTGGTTTCTCTTGTGCTCTGGTCTTTTATTGCTTTTATTTGTTTTGAACCTGGACCTTGAGTTTGTAATAAAGTGTCATTCATTCATTCATTCATTCATTCATTCATACACATACATGAGCTTTCTTCTTTTCAAGATGCTCACTGTGTGTGAGGCCTTCATAGAGTATTCATATATTTTCTATATTGGTGAGTTTTCTCACATTTGCAGCACTTGCTCTTGTTTAATAAAGCTAAGTGAGTGATATTTCATGCAAGTATTGGTAATTGATCTTTACACTAATAACAATAACAATCCATGATGTCATCAACAGTTATACCCTCAGCACTGTTTTCAGCTTGATTCCGTGTCTGTTTACATTCACAACCATCTTCATTTTTTCTCTGTTCTGTTTTCATTCGCCTCTCATGTTCTTTTGGTAACAACCCTCTTTCTTTTCCATCATCTGCAGTTCTGCTTGTTTAGTTCTGTTTCAGTCCTTCTCTCCCATCACCAGCTTTTCTTCTCCTCATTTTCGCCTGTCATTCACTTCTATCCACTGTCTTTTCCCTTCTGTAATTTTTAACCTTGCTCCCTGCATACATTGACAGACCCCATCTTTGTCCTTCCTCATGTTCTTATTATCAGTTTTTTCCTCCCTATTTGTCATTTCTGTTGCTCTTTCCCAGTGTTTTCTTTTACAATTGCTTTGTAGTTTCTGGCCTAGACCAGTCTATTTTCCCCAGTGCCTCTTTTTCAAAATGTTTTATCTGTCCTCCTGTTCATCATCACTTCTTTTTATCCAGCTGGCCATGACTCCGGCCTCCTAGTTAATGTTTTCTTTTGACTTTTCAGTCCTTTGCTTTGCATTTATTTCATACCTTCTGTTTTTTGTCACTTCACTGTCCCTCCTTGTCCACCCCTCATCATTCTCCACCCCTTTTTGTCTTCTGAGTACTTGTTGACAAATTTTATCCTTTTTCATCCTTTCTATCTCACCTGTCATTTGTTTTTCTTTGTATACATCAATTTCTTTACCTACATTTATTCACACTGACTGTAACTATGCTTTTTGTCATTTATCCCTCTCTGCCTGTCATACTGTAGCTCTCTAATATCCTTTCATTAGCCTTACATAGCCCTCTATGCTTTGTTTCACATTACCTCTTGTCTTTTTCTATTTCTCTTTGCTTCTTCATTATGGTCAAGTTGTCTTTTCCCCTCTCTTCCCCTTTGTTCTGATCTGATTCTGCCAAATTCCCCCTGAAATCATTATTCTGTCCATGTATGCCTTCTCCTTGCTCACCTTCTCTCTTTTCTCCTCCCTTTAAAATCTGCCTGCACCAATGTCTGATACCAGAGCTTGTAAGTCCCCCTACTGAGGCAGTCACAAGGCAGCTAGCAAGTAGGCATAGGGGATCTAACACCATGACACTCAGAAGGCTAATTAACCTCAGGGTCACTGTGGTTGTGCAGTGGAAAGAGGGATGGATGGTGAACGGGGAGAGAGACAGAGGAGAGGCTTAGACCGGATGGAGGGTGCAGCTGAAACTGGGCCTGGAGAGAAGAGAAGAGAGGAAGCAGCAGGAGAAATGTGGAGGAAGAGATACTGAAGATAGAGAGAGCGGACAGAAGTCAGAACAGTGTAAAGATCAGTCACAGATGGAGGAGGTGGGGCTTGGATGGACAAATCAAGGGTGAGATGGAAGAAGTAAGATTATGGGAACTAACAAAGTAGAGATGTCTGTGGGAAGGAGGAGAGTAAAAGAGAATGAAAAGGAAATTCAATTTAAAACTGATAATTTGGCCTAGAGGAAGTATGGTGTTGATACGGAGGCAGTGAGTTCCTTGTTAGCTGCACCTGGGCCCCATTTATGGTCTGTGTTTATTCACACTTTGACAAGTTATTCTCAGTTATTGGCTGCTGTGGCCTTTTCTGTTATTTCTGAGCTGATTTATGGATGTGTATTCACAATGGACAATGGACTCTACAAAATTAGACATTATCCAGAAGGGCATCCAGCGTAAAACATGCCAAGTTTAATGTGTGCATCGTCAGTTCGGTGGGAACTGATGATTCACTGTGGCGACCCCTAACGCGAACAGCCGAAAGTAGAAGAAAAAGATTCATAATAGACACTGGAGATTTCTCCAATGTAAGTCGTGTTGAATCTAAAAATATATCTGCCATGTCTGTATGTTTCGAAATGGCTGAGTCAGAGAATAAGGAGTCGGTCTGTTTGTCCAATGGCACCAAGGTTGAAAGAGGCCGTCTGGTGAATTTTAAGGAGCTTACAAACCTGTCCACTGTGTTTTAGATTATATCAATCTCTCTGATTTTATAGTAGGTTTGGATTTTCTAAATGGTTCTTGAGATGTTGAGTGGAAAATGTAAAGAGACAATGTCCATTAGAGGTTGATAGAATAAGGCAGACGAGCTGGAACATGAAAAGGAGTCTTGGTTGGACATCTGAATGTGAAGGTAAAAAAGAGTGACCAGGACAGGGGGAGACAGAAAGGTAGATTAGATGTAACGGGCCATTCCATGGTCATCAAACCCGATAAAACAGTAATGTGATGTTGAAAGGAATGAAAACAAACACATTGGCTTGACAATAGCAATAATTAAATAAAATGGTTTTTTTAAACAGTTTTGCAATGTTTCTAGCACAGAGTAGAGTAATAAAAAAAAAATAGTGAGGTTCAGTGTGTCACGGTTTGGTCTTTGCTTCCTGTTTTTTCCCCGTCTCTCCCCGCCGTTCTGCCATGTCACATTAATCACCATCATTCCACGCACCTACATCTGGTCCTGTTGCATACATATACTTTGTTTTCGCTTAGTCTTCGCTGGTTCATTTTGTTCCTGTCACCTGGGAGCATTGGACAGCAGCCGAGCTGCTGCATTCTGGACCAATTGTAATTTCTGAAGCAAAGTCTGGGGTACTCCTACATACAAGGCATTGCAATAATCTAACTGAAGTAATAAACGCGTGAATAGCCTTCTCCAGATCTCCATGTGACAACAAAGGTTTAACCTTCATTAAGAGTCTTAGCTGAAAAAAACAAGACTTAACCACTGCCCTACTCTGTTTCTCAAAAGCCATCACCCCCTTTCGGTATATTTCCCTCTATCTGTCTGCTTACACTGATGAACAGTACGCTGAGGTACTGTTACCCCCAGCATGTCGCAGTGGGTACCCAGATCGCCAGCTCAACTGTGGAGATGCCTGGCAGGCAATATAACGCAGCATTGCAGAAGGTAGAGCTACACCAATCAGCAGTGGGGCTGTGATTTTACCCCTTCTTCCTATGATGCTGAATACTGTGTCTGCCAACAACTCCAGTAAATAGTCAGACCACTAGTAGTGCTGTGTGTGAACCTGCCTGCCAGCCACGCTGTGGGTGACCTTCACTCCCAGCTACGCTGTGTCTCCCCCTGCTGTCTCACTTGCCTGTCCTGGTCCTTTGGTTCTCCTGGTTCCTGCCGCGCCCCCCCCCCCTCACCAGCCTACCTGAACTTTCTGCTCTCTGGCCCACCAGCTCCTGCCTGACCTTTCCCTGTTCTGTTTTGCTCTGCCCGTCTTGATTTAGTTTTCCAATAAACTAAGAGGGGGTGGAGAGGTATGAGAGGATGAGAGTGACGCTCCTGTTGATGGCAAGAGGAGGAAGGAGCTGTGCAGGAGGTAATGCATCCTGTGCATGCATTAGGCAAAGGATTCAGGCATCAACTTCCAGCTACTATAACATTCATGAAAGGTTAACCTAGCTTAGGCTTAATCAGATCAGTATGGCCATGGCATTACTCCAGCTCCTGCGCAGACCTTTTACAAAACAGGTAATTCCCATCGCATAGGGAGCAATATTTCTCAAGCCTGCAGAGGCCTGGCAGTGTAATTGGCAGCAAAAGTGTTATTAAGCTTGGCCCCTGTGAAAATCAAAGATTTACTCAACCTTAAGGCTACAGCCATACTCAGCCTCTCTAGGCACAGCTCTGAAGCTGGAATAACGGCATAGTCTGGATTTCCATTTAGGAGATTAAAGACATCACTCTTAGTGAAGTTTAATCACACTCTTGTGCGCGTGTGTGTGCAGGTTGTCTAACGTTACCCTGAGCTGAGCGGCCTCTGTGTGTGTGTGCTCCTCCTTGTTACAGGCAGTTTGACCCTTTATAATGTGGATGTTTTTGCTGTTTCTCAATTTGTCAATGAATAGTTTGACATTATGACTGGTTTTGGATTAGGTTTGAGTTTGGGATGGGTTTATCATATGCATGAATAGTTTATAATACCTCACTGAAGGCTGGGTCTTATTGTAGTTTTGGCTATTTCAGCCGTGATGCCATTAAAGGGGAAGGATAAGTGCCTGTGCACATTCACTGTAGGTTTGGTCAGTCAGATTGGGTAATTTTACTGTTCACTTTAGTTTTTCTTCTTACAGAAGCCCTTTCCATTCAGAAATGCATTAAAATTTCCTGCTTTTTTGAATATTTGAATAGTAAAATTGAAAACTCATTACCTACCCAACAAAGGAACTTCCACATAGTGGGGTTGAATATGTGCGTCCAGGCCTTATTATTTTCTGGCTTAAAAACATAATTAATGGTGCTCATTTGCTTTATCACACACAAGCACATTTTTATTGTATGCTATACCCTCACTCCACCACCTCTCAGTTCAGCCACCACCAGCTCCAGCACTAATGAATGATTAAATAGCTGTCATCTCAGATTGAGCCAAGTAGTGAGTCATTGTTGGAGTGTCCAGTGTCCTTCTGGGGCCCCCGCACTGCAGCCTGCCCTCTGATGATGAATGTGTCGGTGTGAGGTCTGCAGCTATCGCCAAACTCAAAGATTCACCAAATTAATGGACTCTGTTAACCGACACATTAATAACCCTGGTTAAATTGAGATTCAGAGATGGAGAGACTAAAGCTTGTTGTCAAAGAGTGCAGTCCAGCCGGGTTTGATTATCCACATTTAATTATACAGGAGTTCCTTATTTATGTTATTGTTTTTCGGACGTACAGTTATCTTTCACCTTCTTCTGAAGAAAAAGTATGGCTGAAGGTGAAAGACATTTGACAGCAACTTTCTCAGCCGAGTGTGCTCCTATCTCGTCACCTGGAATGACAAGTTGCTGCAGGATGTAATATTTCACCTGAGTCACCTGGATGACAGGTTTTTCAGTTGTTTCACTTCAAGCTTGTAGGACTATCACCGTGCTTTTTCATTCTCTAATGAAGGGTGGCAACCTTGGTATCCATTCAGTGCCGTGTTAACATGTTGGTGTACCACGTTTACTACGATCGGAGTGCATTTGTGCCGCAGAGTGTCTAGTTTCAATAAACCGCCTGTAGGTGGTGCTCTGCTTATACATGGCTTTTCACAGGTACCATGTACTGTATGTCCACTGAAGCACTGTGGCTGACCTGATTCCACATCATGCTGCTTTGATATACTTTTCACCAACAAGCAGTCCTGTCTTAGCCCAATCTGTACTGTAAAAACAAACAGCAGCAAGTTGGGTTTTTCTTGAGGCTGGTGTGGAGGTAAAAAGTACAGTATTACTACCCACGAGGGTGCCACAAACACACTGTGGTGGAAAAACATGATGCTTTGAATGGCTCCCACAGTATGTTTGCAGAGCCCTTATTCATTAGGCTGTTGTGTTACACAGTATTTTCAACTCTATAGGCTATTCTGTACAAAGACGAGGGACTAATATATGGCTGTCATCTATTGGCCTCTAGTGAACCTTAACTTGTTCCTGTAAAGGCACTGAGCAAACAGGGCCAGAACAGAAGGTCAGCTCAAATTCTAGACATAGCAGGGTGTTGGAATAGAGAGGCCAAGACTAAACCTCACATTTCTAATTAACATCTACAACTAACACTTATTTTTGTCAATTAATCTTTCTTTTTTTTTTATAAATGAATCTTTGACCTGAAAAATCTCCGTTTCCCAGAGCAGCCAACAGTTCAAAACAAAGGATATTCAGTTTACCATTATAGAAGAGGACAGAAGCATGCAAATACTCATTTTTGAGAAACTGGAAACAGAGAATATTGGCACAGATTCTTAAAAAAAAAAATTATCGGTTTGTTTCTGGCAATCATTTGATTGTATGTGATATATGCCTTTAGTTCAGACTGTTACCAGAGGAAAAGCTCCAATAGAAAAGCAGAATTAACTAGTGTGAGGAAAGCAAGAGAGTCAGAGCCATAATGGACTTAAGCCATAATAACATAGTGCAGCGTTTATTGCAGTGCATTGTGGGTGAAAGGTGGGGGCGGCATTAATGTGTGCTATCACTACAAGCAGTGACAAGTAATGTTAATGTTCATTCGCATGGAAAAATTATCGTCAGAAAGATCTTAAATGGTTTGTGCAATAAATTCCTTAATATAGGTGTTTGAATTGAATGTTCATGCACTATTGTGTAGTGTGAAAGATGTCTGCTGGATTTGTTATTTGTAACAGTTTTATGATACGTACTGTATGCAAATGCTCCACGATTTCAAGATATGATCCACATTCCTCTATGCCTGGACAAGAAACTGTGGTCCCCAGTAGATGAGACAAAACATTCTGATGGGGATGATGATCCTGTAGAGGGAGGAAATCTAAAAAGACCAGCCTTTGCCCAGATAATTCTATTGCAAAGGGACCCTGCAGCTGCAGTGTGACAATTTAAGGGCACGAAGAAGAAGGGGCTGTGGGATGGATTAATAATAGGCTTGTGAAGGGAAACTGGAAGTCAGGGTCAGATAAGCAGTGATATGGTCACCACCACTGACCTGAAACTGGAGGCCGAAACAGGTTGTGAAAACTAACATTACCTCATCAGGTAAAAAAAGAGAGCTCCAGTCAGTCTGTTAGCTCTGATTCTGACAGACAGGTCAACATGTTAAAGCTGCATTTGTAAGATTCACATTGTTGATCTCAACTGTTTTTTATTGCCATACAGTATTAACCTTCAGTCAGTGATGTTACACTGTTGGCTGCAACAGAACATGATACTGGTCCAAGATGCTGAGGCAGTGAGTGGAGGGAGAGCGTTTCCCCTCTTTCTTTCCTAATTAACTGCTGAAATGTAGATGCTGTGATGAAATATGCCAGTCTAAATCTAAAATAAACCAAAACCCCTCAATATATTGAGAAGCCATGATTATATGATGAACATAATATTAATTTAGCAAAATGTCTATACACTGCATATCCTGCTGAGTATTTGCACCCCACAGCTCCCACGTAGCATATATTCTCTCTGCATCGTGTTCTTGTATCTTTATTTGCTTCCTTCCCCTGCTGCTATAAAGTGCCTTAGATTTGTGTTATTGCTCATCTACTTTATATTTCATTTGTGTTTTGTGGCATTCATGTGGACAGCAAACTAAGAATTTCATTGTACAGGGAAACACATTTCCTAACTGTGCATATGACAAATAAACCCTTTGACCTTGACCTTGTAATTAAATTAATTTCTTAATTATATTTAAACTCCAAAGTCATTCAGATTAGCCCAATATAGTTCTTAATTCAAGAGTGTGTTCTGTTTACAACTCATATGAAGGTTCTGGACCGCTCACACAAGAAAATCTCCACAAATTCTCAAATTTCTTGTAAGAATGAATCTGTTTGCGCAACTGGTTCTTGCATGAGGCCCATTGTCTTTTTCTGTTCCCTGTGCTTTAGAGATGTGCAGGTAAAGTCCTCCTTACTTGTATGTTTTCATTTTGTCTTTGAAAATATCAGAGCAAGGTCACATTGTTATTTACAGATAGCTGCATTTAAATGTAGTGGGCTAGGTGTTGAGTAATCTTACTGCATCTGAGTTTCCATGGCATCAATCACAGAGAAATGTACACATTTCACAATAATTAATTTTAAGGGTTTGTTTGCCCTAGTTTTCAGAGGCCAACCAAGACTGTTGTGGTTTCTGGGAAAGATACAGGACTAGCACAAGGCTAATTAGACTGGAAAAAAATGAAGATTATGTTGAGATTTATCTCCAGTTAGTCTGCACTTTACAAAGCAGGATATTGGGGTGAACCCTGGCGCACGTGCTCCCATTACTCATTGCATCCTGAGCTAGACAACAGTAGCCAGGGTGACATCTTTGAACTTAATGAGTGAATGACGTGTTTATCTACACATAACTCGACTTGTGGTAAGTGTCAGACTTTAGTTTAAAGTTCTTTAAGTCTAGGAGCCCTGACAGCACTTTCTAAAGCTCTCCAGTGGCCGTCACAGGTTCTGTGCAGTTCCACAATGAGCTTTAGTCAGGCTACTGATCACTGATCCACACCAGTGACTCAAGGATTATTTCACTTTAAAAGTTTGAACTTTTAAATTTTACAGGATTTGTTTAGGAATACAAACATACTTTGAATTTTTAGGTGCTCTAAGTGGCCATGAAGTTCGAGGCCCATCTCAGTGCCATGTTGGTTTGTGTTGCTGTCTGCCATGTTTGGTACCACTGAGCTGTGTCAAAGTCAGAAATGCACTGAATATGCACAGTGTCTTAGGACATTTTGTATTTTAACTGAATTGTTACTAAATAAAATGTCAGTTTACCTGTGATTTGGCTTGTGTCTTTGGAATATCCAGCTTTGCGGAGGCAACAGTGGTGCGGTGGGTAGAGCAGGCATTTCCCAACCGGAAGGTTCAAATCTCGGTGCCTGCAGTCCACATGTCGAAGTGTCCTTGGGCAAGACACTGAACCCCCCTGTTGCCCCCGATGGTTAGAGCCATCGGTTGAGTTGTCGATGTAGATGGCTGCCTTGGTTCTGTACCGGAAACAAATTCCTTGTGTGTAACATACTTGGCCAATAAAGGTGATTATGATTATCCTTTTGTGAAGAATGCAGGTCTCTACCTGTGTATTTCAGACTTTTTGGAACGTTTTCCAAATTGATATAAAAACTGTAACACAAATAAAAATTAAACATTGCTGTGAAAGAATGTCCAAGACCAACAAAGCCTAAATAACAACAGCTGTGTTTTGTTTTCCTGACTTTTTTTTCCTGTGCTCTCTTGTTTTCCCAGAATGCTGAGGTGTCTGTGTTTGAGGTCAACATTCGATTCATAGGAGGACTGCTTGCCGCCTACTACCTCTCTGGGCAGGAAGTAAGTACTCACCTTTATTTTGTATCTGTGAAAAGTATTTGAGATTGACAGGAACTCGATGAGCCTTATCCTGAAGAGTACAGACCAGGAGAAAGCAAAAGGAGTGATGAAGAAAGTGGCTAATTTGTGTGTTTATTGGCTCTTCTTCCATTTTTGTTCCTCTCCTCTATGCTAAGTTGAATCCAGTTGTCTTTTCCATTTCTCTCTCTCTCAAGCTTTCATGTCCAGCCAAGGGACTAAATTCATATGTGCTCAGTGCAACACCCACATCTACTGTGCTCTGTATTATAATTTTGTGTGGTTTATGCAAGTACTGGCCAACAGATCTTTGAGGAAACCTAGTCTGTTGTCAGATATTTTACTCAAAACACTGCCTGAAAACACATTCACTCATGTTTATTACTCATTTATTTTAGCTCTATGAAGGCTGTTCCATTGGCTGCCTCAGTTCTGCCAATAAAAGTCATATTATATTTCCTAGCCTTAGTTTGTTTATTTTGGGTACCGCAGCTGTCAGAAATGCACCATTAAGATACTGAAACCATGTAGTATTGTGAGTACGTGAACAGTTTGTGAGCCGGGGAGCGCACAGAATAGACAGTGATATTAATGAATGATTTGGCTGCATTCATTAGTGAGCAATTGCAGCTGTGTCATTTTACAGCATTTACAGCAGCATTTGCCAGTGTAATGCACCTTTAAATGACTGCTGCTGTGTTTGAGTTTTAGAATTCTGTCCATCCTGCGGCCGAAGAGGAGTCGTGAATGTACTGTACAAAACAAATTGCCAAAATAAAACTAAGTATTGAAATATTTTTGTAGGTCAACTATAGAACATGTATGTACAGTGTAGGTCTTTGATAAGATTAGATCTCGTTAGGATTGAACTGATACTACTGTAAATGTCATCAGGGCGTCCACAATCCCTGAAACGCTCGTCTTGATTCCTGTCATAGTTCTGACCTCTTTACTGTTGCCTGCAGTCTTACTTGTACTACTAATTGTACTGCATATTGTTCTGAAGAATGTGAATAAATGACAAATTTCAGGTTTTTTTGTTTGTTTATGTGGACAGCCTTTGCTCACTATGAATCATCCTGCTGATTAAATGCACACAAGTGAAGCAGAATTCCTTGGTATTTTCTTGCTGGCTCTGATTAATTAAGTAGAAAGCTAATGAGAAACTGCAGACTTCATAGGATTTCTCACACAAGGTAGTTTTAATTAATGGCGCTATACATTAAATAATGATGTGGGCTTGGCTCAAAGTTCAAAAGAGCCTTTGGATTTTTTTTTTCCACACATGTAATCCTTCAGGGCTTTTCTGACGAATAAACAATGTGTGCTCAGAGTTTGTTTTTGGAGGAACAATGAAACATTCACAGAATGACACTGGTGTTTTCTTGTTTTGAAAATCAGAAGCAAAGACAAATAGCAGTAGATGACACATTCACTATGTCAGGTGATATAACAACGAACCGAGCACAGACGTCTATCAGTAAGTTAAAAGCTGATTTATTCATCAGAAACAAAAGTCTTACTCCCACTGATCCCCCCCACCCCCCCAGCATGGAAACTGCCCATTAGACTTTGCACATTGAGTGATGTAGAGGTTGTGCGCTGGTCTTCTGAAACTAATGAACAGTCATTTTGCTAAGTAACTCTGAAAAGAACCTAAGTGTCTTACAAGCAAAACTTAGTGTTGCTCTCATTCAGTTCCACCTCCTCCACCCCGATTAAACTCAGTCATTCATCTGAGCCCACTTGAGTGATAAGAGAAGTAGTGGGTTGTGGGAAAGGAGAGAGATGGAGCATGAGAAGGTTCAGAGGAGAGACGGTGATGGAGGGAACGAAGGAGAGGGTGGAGAAATCCCTATGATGTGATAGTCGGTGTTTGGAGGTGATGGTTATGGATAAAGAGGTGGGAGTGGAGAGTGGGGACGATAAATGGCTGATTGGAGCAATGAGTGAGACTCACTCTTGAGCAAGGCACTTAACTCCTATGAGGAAGCAGGAAAGGAGATGAGATAGATTGTATTACAGGGAAGTGTATTAAACTGGAAGTGACAAGGAAAACAAAAGGTTGAGAGATACACAAACAAGTGGAAAAAATTAAACAGATGAGTGGATAGATGGGAGGTGGGGTACAAGGCAGCGTTGTAGGACTCAAGGTCCACGACTCAGACTTGAAGTTTAGTGACTTGACTACAACACTGGTACTAGGAGAGAGTGAAAAGCTGGAGAGAAGACAAAACACATGGATGAGAAGATGCAGCTGGATTTGTGTATTACCCCCAGGCCACACTGATAATTAAGCTTTACTTCAGTGAATACACAAAAATGCACGCTTGTATCTCGCAATTAATCCAGAACTCTGCTGCTAGGCTTTTAACTCAAAAAAGGAAGAGACCAACTATTAAACCCATGTACACTTCAGTGAGAGCCATGAGGTCTTCAGTTGTCCAACTGTTTTCTCAACATCATATAAAAATGTTGGAAATGCTTTTTTTTTTTTTTTTTTTTTTTTTTTTTTTTTTTGTGGGGGTCACCCTCCCACAAAAAAAAAATAGGAGCCTCAGTAGCATCTTCTATACACTTATCAAGTTAGCTTGTAATGACTATATTAGTATTTCGGTTTCTTCATATTTCATGGGAAGCACTTTGGGCTACTTCACTGTATGAATAAACAATTGAATTGATACACATTCCTCTCATTCCATAGAGAAACGCTGAGGTGAACTGTCAAGTTTTGATACTGGTTAAGTAGACAAGGTTTACAGTCTCTAGTCAGGTTGGCTCCAAATTTTCAGACCTAAAAACACCTTTTCTAGAGAACCACAAAACATTGGAAGTGATAAAAGATGTTGCTTATCGAGTCTGAAGGTGGAGATGAGGTGCACTAATACGGTTTAACTTTGTGATGAAAAGTGGCAGTGAGATGAAGTTTACTAGTCATTTGATGCCTTTTTCTGTCTCCATCAAACCTGTCAAAATCTGTAAACATAGAGTGAAAAGGGAGAAAGAGAAAAATAAGTCGAGATCAAAGACCATGCGAGAGAACACTCGCTGAATAAATACCAGAAACCAGGAGACGAGTGATAAGAGACCAGGTAGAGGGAGAAGGAGACGGAGACAGAAACACAGACCAGGCAAAAGGAAAACACAGAAGAAGAAAGTGAGGGAGTTCAGAGAGAGATCAGCATTTAGGCTGAGGAGGTGTTGGTCTGGGAGAGTTGAGCCGAGCAGCAGTGATAGATTATGTTTATTCCTCTGCTTGTCCCCAGAGTTTTGCTTTTACTCTCCCCTTCTATTTCTTTGTCTTTGTTAGATGTCCTCACCACCTTCTCTCTTTTCATACTTCTTCACCTGTCTGCATCTAATTGGGTCCTCTCCTCTCATCTCTCTGAGAGCTGCTGATTCTTCTCTCTCTCTTTCTTTTCTTAGTTTCTTTTCTTCATCTTCCCCCCATCTGTTTCTCAGCTCCCCCCCCCCCCATATTTCCTTTCTTACACTTTCTTTAACTTGTTTCTTTCTCATCATGCCTAGCTGTTGTTGTCCCCTGACCTTTCTCTGTTCATCTTTCTCCTTTCCCCTCTTTTGCCCTTTTTCATCTGTCTTTTGAATTCATTTTCTTCTCTCCTAATTCCCCTTCTTTCCTAAGTTTCTTCTCCTTTTGTCTGAAGTCGATGTAGACAGTAAAACCAAGTAGTAGCTGGTAGAAATCTAAAGCTGTGTGACTCATCGTCTTTTCACCGTGCACATACAATCTCACAGTATAGTGCCAAAAAACATGCCTAAACCTAGAATAGCATCTTTTCCTGTCGGTTTGTGAGTCTGTCTGGATAATGGGAATGGGAATGTAAATGTAAACGCCCATTTCAGGGTTTTCCAGGACTGTGTTCGAATGAGTTGTTGATGTTTGTGTCTTTGATCACACCATTATTTTGGGATGATAGTTAGAAAGAATAGTTTGGATAACTTGTTCCTGTGTTTTCTGCACTGACTGATTGATCCAGAGAGCCATCAACTACTTTCACTGACATGTAGACAAAGAACGAAGAACAGCTTCAACACAACAAAACTCCTGTAATCAAACATTTTTTGTCTGGGGTTTTTTTTTCGTCTTGTATTTGGTGATGTTTTCTCTCTCTTCTCTGGTTTGCTCTGCTGGTACCTGTGCCTCATTAGCACACTACTGCATTTCCCATCCTTTGTTTAAAGTACAGAAGCTTGGCAGGTGTAGACACATTATACCCACATCAGGTTCTAGTCTAACACACTATTCTCTTGCTGATAAAATAGCAGCAGAGTGTCCTGTATACAGGCAGGTGTGCTGGCCACCTGTGTCAGTTGAGTAGGAAGGATTATGAACAGTAGTATATATGCCAGGCTGGTGTTTGATGCTGCATTTGCTGACACAGGAGTGTTCACTTAAACCCTGTTTAGTAAATGGGATGTGACAAACAGATTCCCATAAAAGTCCTTGTATGTTCTTATGGGAGCACTTGCATATTTTGGGAAATCTACTTCTTTACTGTTTAACCAATAGCTGGAAGATCAGTATCTGTTTAACCTTTGTGAAACTAATACAGGAATAGTGTGTCCTGAACACGTTTATCTTTGAACAAGTATAACCAGCTTCACATGGCTTATAGTGAAACAGTACATAATAGTGTTAAAGTGGTTGTGTTTAAAGAATGAATTGTATTTTGTGTGACTGAGCTGTTAGCTGCTATTTCATTACAGAACCAGCTCAGACCAGCAGCTCTCAAATTCCCTTGTTTCCTGATCAAGGTGCCAACCTTTGGACATTTGCCACAGTTACCAGTCAAAAAAAGACTCTTTAATGGAGATCAACATTTTTATTGTTTTTACACAGTTTTTTGATTCACAGCTCTGAAAGATAAAGGGCTACTTAAAACAAAAAAGGTGAGGGACCACAATGACGAGGATAATTAGAGTGAGGATCAGCAGAGAAGGTAAGAGGAGCAGGCCGAGTC